AAAAAATAATAGTAGTAATCAAGTTCAGACTGAGTTTAGAAAACATTAATTGCGCTGAGGTTAAACTTGGTTACTCGAACATTTCACACTTCATTTGACGATGTTGCACTATAGTTATTTTGTGATTTTTTTATTTTTTTTATTAAAATATATAAATATTAATTAAAAATGATAAATTTACTATTTTAAATAAGATTTTGTGGGGAAAATGCCTACACAAAATGAGAAGTGTAGAAAAATGAAGCCTAACCCTTGAAGAGCTTGATAAAACATTCCAATAAATAGTCATTTTTTAGAGTTTCGATTATATTGAATCTTGGAAAATGGATCTTTTGATGTAACCCTAATATTAGGATACACCCGATTCAAGAGTTAGTTTAGTGCAATTTGAATCATAGATTTTTTTTTTTTTTTTTTAACAAGTTCCACTAATATGTTATAAAACCTAAATTCATGATCTTTTATTTTTACTAACAAAATACTACTACTAAATTATTTAAATAACTAACCAAATTGTAAACATTTTCGATATATTTTTCTATGATTTGGATTAATCCCACCAACCCAAAACTTGATAAGGTAAGTGCAATTTCCCTAATTTAACAATATTTGTATTCATTAATCATTAAAAACTTAAACCCTTTAAAGAACGTAATCCATTTCTGGCTTTTTCCTCCCTAAGCGCAGCGCTGCGCCTAAATCAATTCTCCTTCTCTTCCCTGCTCTCCTCTCAGCCTCTCGCAAATCTAGTCTGTCGTACAACGATGAAGGCATAAATTCTCGATCCCCATAGGGGATCCCACCGTGGGTGGCATGGACATTCTGTTTCCATCTCCGTGTTCCATGTGGGATCCGCTGTCCTCAAAGTTGGTGACATCTCTGCCTTCCAGTCCTGGTTACCACATTCCAGAATATTTTCTCCTAAATTGATTTGCAAACTTCAAAAGGTAAATCAAATTTTTTTTATGGATCAAAGTTTTCATTAGCCTCTTGATTATAGTTCTTTTAATCTGATCACCAACTCTGAAAATTTAAATATAATTTTCTTAAGTCACATGTTTAATCCTTTTTAATGATATATGATTTCACTATACGCAAAAAAAAAAAAAAAAAAAAGGGTCATCTGTTTAATCTCTTTGTTTTATTACATTTTCTTATTCACTAATTACCTGTGATTTAGTAGATAGATCAAATTTAAAGAAGAAAAATGTTAATTGGACTCATAATTAGCTGTTTTTAGCTGAGCAATTTGTATTTTGAGAAGCTAGTAATAGTCACCAAGCTCTAATAAACTCTTCTAACAATTAGTAGTGACCATCTTAGCAGTGTTTAACCGTGCTTTCCTTGACGGGACATCATCTTCGAAATCATAAAGCGAAATCCCCAAAGAGCGTTGTGGTTTTAATCTATGGTTTTTACATGGGACAACCGAGTCTAGGCAGTTTTGATGGCCATTTCAAATACAATTATTGAATTCAATTTTTTTTTTTTCTTATGCATTCTTAACGATAATGGATTTAATTTGGAGTTTGATGAGAAATTATTTTAACTACACCTACATGTCTGCTGGATTGGATTTCGTGGCATTGCATCCTCTTGCCATTTACTTATTATTCTTATCTTCTCAATTCTCTGCAGTTCTATTTTCTATTCAACTACTGATGGACCACGAGCTATATAGTGTCCACTGCAACACCCAAACAAAAAGGAAACAGATTCAAACTTGAACATGATTCACCCTGCCATGAACCACCAAAACAGAAGTTTCTCATTTGTTTATATCGGTATCGATTGGGATATTGAAAATTGCCCTGTCCTAGGTTACTTTAGCCCTTATGAGGTGGCCAGTATAAGAAAGGCTTTAAGAGTCTTTCTGTAACATCTGAACAGAAGTAAACACCTATGGGAGATTTAAATTTGAACATGCTTCAACCTACTTTGAACCAGCAAAACATAAGCTCCTCAGATGTTTCTGTTGGTATATACTGGGATATTGAAAACTGTCTTGTCCTAACTGACATTAGCCCTGACGATGTAGCTAGCAATATAAGGCTTTGAGAGGGCACCCTCTGATCAAAGGGGCTGTTGCCATGTTCTCTCCCTATTGGGATTTTAATTCCTTTCCCAGGCATCTTATAGAGGGTTGCCAGAGAACTGATGTTTCAAAGGAAAAGAAGCATGCTGCTAACAAGGCTATATTGGTTGAGATGTTTTTGTTTGCTCTTCTATCCTCCACCATTTATATACTTAATGCTGATTGGGGATGTAGTTTTTGCTTCAGCTCTTCACATACTTGGTCAGCGTGGCATACAGTCATTCTTGGTGTTGCTTCTGCCCTATGCAATTGTATCGCTCATGGGAGAAGGCTTTTTTCCAACCTCGGAAGCTTTAATGCGTACTGCAGTCGTGGAGGACTCTGCCCATATCAATGACAATCTAGACTGTCAAAATAAGGAAAATAGCCGTCCAATGCTTGAGTAATCCTTCTATTACTAGATCTACCTTCCCTGCTAGTCAGAAGAGCTTCCACCAGGGGCGAAATCTATGTTGTCCTCCAGAATCTTCTGTGCAATTAAGGTGTATTTGTACATGCTTTCCAGTTCTGAAGGTAAAGAAATTTCTTATTGCCTTTTCCATCTATCACCATAGCATCAGGAGGATGTCTGCCTTTTACCCAAGTTCCTGTCGAGTACCTGAAAATGATTAGAAGGCCATTTTGTTGTTCAGAGTATGGAGCATTCAAGCTTGGTAGTCTCTACAAGAAGATGAATGATTGCTATGGTAACTGATGGAAAAGGCAATAAGAAATTGGTCCACCTGTGGAACTAGAAAGCAAGCCCAAAGTACACCTCCTTTAATTGAAGCAAAGGGGATTCAGGGGAGATATTATGGATTTTGGTCCTGGAGAATTATGCATCTTGCTGATTCCAGGAGAGTTCTAACCCCTGCATTTCATCTAACGTGAACCATCCTATAAAGCATGTCGGATATGGTCTGTTTAGAATGCAACTATAATGATTTTACCTCCTACTGTTACTAGATGAAATAATGTAATGAAAATCTCTATCAGAGACCATTGCAGCCAAATGCTTGCTGCTAACCATGTTTTACAATTGAGTGATGGATGTTTGTTGTAGGGCTGTGTTACTGAAGCCAACAAGCTTTGGTTGCAGTTGTATGGAGCATTTAACCCCTTTTTTCAACCAAAAAAAAGGAGATTTTATTTCATGAGCACTAGTGTTACTCAAAACACAATCCATTACATGCTATTTAGATCCTGTTCAACATCAACCACCTACACCCCCAAATTAAAGAGTTCATATCATTGATCAATCCTACTTGCAAAACATCAAAAGCCCCGTACCCTGCACCTGCAAAACTGTTCCAATTCACATAACAAGCATCCAAAACTCTTCCAGGGGTTCCACTCACCGCATATCAATAGATAAATTAGGCCAAAGCTTAGATCTCGTGGCATATATATGATTGGCAAATAACATGACTACAAGAAAACTGAAGGAATGAAGATATGAAACTAAGAAAACTAAAATTTTTTATAAAAGCTTGAAATAAGGGAAAGAAGACGCGAAGGGCATGCAAATTGTAAAATGGTTGAGAACTTGAAAACCAAACCTGCTCATGTACTTGACAAATTCATCCAACAAACACAGGCCAGGCGCCTGCAAAAGTGACCTACTAATAATTACAAAGCACAAAATAATGACCAAACCCACAAGGGAGATACAGGGAAATTAATAACTTCAAGACTGTACCCTTCTAGATTTTCATATATACACATAAGCTAAAAGCTAAAACTTGCTGTCAATTATCCTCTT